AGTGGTAGTGGTAGTGGTAGTGGTAGTGGTAGTGGTAGTGGTAGTGGTAGTGGTAGTGGTAGGGGTAGTGGCAGTGGTAGTGGCAGTGGCAGTGGTAGTGGTAGTGGTGGCGGTGGTGGTAGTAGTAGTAGTAGTAGTAGTAGTCGTGGTGGTGGTGGTGGTGGTGGTGGTGGTGGTGGTGGTGGTAGTAGTGCTGGTAGTAGTAGTAGTAGTAGTAGTAGTAGTAGTAGTAGTAGTAGTAGCAGTAGCAGTAGTAGTAGTAGTAGTAGTAGTAGTAGTAAATCGTGGCCGCAGCAGCAGCAGTAGTCGTTGTCGTAGTCGTCGTCAGATTAGGTATTAGTAAGTAGCAGTATGTATTAGTAAGTGGTACGAGTAGGAGTACAAGCGTTGTCGTCGTCTTTTGCAAAGCTGCCATGCTGCACAAGCTCAGGCAACGACGAAACGGTACAACTTCGTTGGGTCCAGGAGTGAATCGATGTTGCCTGGCAGCTCTCACATGAGCGCATCACTTGCTTTGGGAATAGACCGAAGCCTCGATACGTGCAGGCCAAGGAGCCATATGAGTCTGGGACAGGAACCTCGACCTCCGTGAAGCTTGCTGGGATGACCTGGGTGAGTAGGGGTCAGGACTATTGACTGATAAAGGCAAGGGTAAAGCATGGTCAAGCTCTTGCCACCGAGATACTTCGCTAAATGTGAGGAAGGACACCTGAAGAACAATGCTCAAGCTGCATAGTCGTTAGCCTTAGCCTCCTCATCAGACTACAAGCTAAAACGCGCTCGCTGCAAACGGACCGCAGCACAACGTTGCGAAAAGTTCGATATGCTCAGCATGGGGAGGTTGGAACATTTCTGAAACGGCTGTCAGTTGGCGCTTGGTGGCTCGCCTGTACCTGTGCTTTCGAGACTGGGGTTGCTGTCCCACACGGTCCCCGTGTCGCCTCGACTCTCACCTCCTTGGTGAAATCGCCGCCCAGCCCGTCGTCCTGGTTTGAATTGTCCGAACGCTAGAGAAGGGAAGACCGCCAAACATACCGGAAAGCTCCATGCTGACTTCCGTACCAAGTAGCATGGCGAAGGCGGTACGAGCTGATCGGCCTGCCATTGGATTCCTGGGCCACCGAGAACACGCAAACTGTGGGTGCATGTCTGATCAGGTTAACACAAGGTTTCAAGCATGCGAAATGCTCTCTATGCTCTAGCCGAAGAAACCAGCGGCGGCATCCAGCGAAGTCGGATCTCAGGGAAGCGTGCGGGGATCGATGTCTCCAGCAAGGGTTACCTAATGAGACCAAATTGGCCCCCTCCGGACTCCGACCTTGCCGTTCTGGAACGGTTGCACTCGCTCGAAGGCTTCCACTGGACCAGGCACGTCGGAGACGTTCACGGTCTTGGGATAACCTAGTCGCATTTCTGTTCACGCCCTCGGACGCTCCACAGTCAATCTGCGATTCAGACGGCACTCGCTGACTAGGGCGGCCCAAGGCGCCAGAGAGCAGCGTCTTCCTTAGTGACCGCCAGATTGCAGAACTTCCTAGACGGCATCCGTGGCAAACGCAGACTGTGACCACCCTCAGGTTGAAGGCCCCGGCGAGTTGTAGAGGTATTCCGCAGGCAGGATTGTCTCTGGGATGCCACCATCGCTGGACTCAGAACTGGCTCAGATTTTCACTGCCAACCGACGAAACTGCAGATGAAATGTTTGTTGTTAAGTCCACGTGGCCCACCGCAGCTGCACCGACGAGCTGAGGGAGTGGGAAGTCCAAGCCACTTGCACCGAATACCTGACTGACCAAGGAACAGTGCTTCAAGATGAAGACACGCAAGACATCCAAATCCAAACCCTTCCCGAGGCAATGGCGCCGTTTGTGCTTGCAGGTCTAGCGGTCCAATGACCGCGAGTTGCTCCTGCAATGCTGCAGGTCTCAAGAAGTAGAAGCACGATCTCACCACACGGACACCGCAGGTTAGTCGTCTTTCTCGAGGCCTGGTCCACGGTGTCATCCGTTGTCGAAATGGTGACCTCAGAGACAAGTAGCAGCAGAAACCTGTGCCAAACCTCTCCTTCTACGGCGCCCGCAGGCACGGTAGGGTGCTTGCGCGAAGCGATGAGTTGAAGATAAGCACCGCATCCTTGCCGACTCGCAGCAAAACTGGCACCAGTCATGAGGCAGGGCCACCAGTCGACGTGACATGATATCACGTTCGAAGTTCGGGCTCATGAAGTGCCACAGTCCAAGGCACCCTTCCACGACACACAAGAATAAGGGTGTAGTTCCTCGGACAGACTTGAAGACTTGAATTCTGAACATGCTAGGCCTGCTAGGCTGAGCGGGAATAGAAGAATCTTAGGAATCACTGGTGCTCATCTCATCTTCTTCCCAGCAACTCAGATCATACCATGTGCTTGGTCTGCCGCCACGGCACGCAGACGTTGGTGGATACAGCAGGGCATCCCACCGCGCTGAGCCTGCAGAGTCTTTTGCGCTGTGGCGCCATAAACTAATGGAGCCCTGTGCAAGCTGACCGCTGACCTAGCTATCTTCAATGTGTCGGAAAGAAATCTGCACCTCCTTGCTCGTCCACAGGCAGCTGATCCAAAGCAGAGATGTTGACACCCTGCGCGGACGAAGGTGCGCCGCTTTCTCAATCTACGAAAGGTGTCCCTGCTACAAGAGTCGCGGGCATCCGTGCCGAATCAATGGGAGCTGATGACGTGCTAGTTTGCAAAGAAGTGTTTTAGAAAATGCAAGCAGCAAGCACGAGACGAATGTCATCCGAGAGCGCGCAGAACAATAGGGGAAACATTCAAGAACATGAGCACCAGCCCGAGGCTCAGGCTGGGGCTGCTTCGATATTGCATTGTTTTCTCTCTGTCTTTTTTCTGTTTTGTGCTGGTCGCTGCTAGTCTTGCTCTTTCATAATGCTGATTGGCCGCTCAAATCTGATGGTACTCCTGCTTGGACATTTATCGTGCTTCTCAAGTACTTAGTTTCTCTAGCTGCGGCCTCCTACATTCCGGGCAGCTCACAGTGCTGCGACAACCAACTTGCTTGTAGAAAGAGCCAAAACGTTGGACAACTGCAGGGCCTCCACAACTCGCCGGAAGGTACTGCCATCGGTGTCTCGGTACCTCTGTCAGTTGTTGTCGCAGTTAGGTGCAGGAGGCCTGTGACCCTAGCGCATTGGCTAGGCCGACCCGGACTGAGACAGTGCTTTAGATGCGATGCCATTTGCATGTGCACTCCAAGCACATGTCTCGTAGAAACAGCTTATGGACTCGAGACTTCATGTTCTATGAAAGCCGAAACAGCCAGAGACCAAGTGAGGTGTCACTTACGTCGTGGGGCCTGAAGCCTGAGGTCTGAAAGCCCACGGCAGTCGCAGGGCTCGGGGCGTGAGCGGGTAAAAGTACTTCCTATGAGGAGACCAAAGAGTTCACGTCGTGAGGCCCCGGAAGACAAAGGGGCGCTGATGAGTTGCAGCCATGCAGACCGCGAGGGATCGTTTGAAGATTGCCGATTGACTGGCGGGGCCAGCTTGAGCAGATGGACAGTCATTTGCCAATGGGTTTCCTAATTCAACTTGTTGAGCTCTGCTGGCTCGTGATGAGAGTTCTGATGGGGTCTTCCGGGTTAGCAGGTTGGAGCTCCTGGTCATTGCTTTTGGAGGTTGGTGTCGATTTTCCTGTGGCTTCGACCGCGGGCACATTGGTCAGCAGAGGTTCTGTTCTTTTTATGACGGGCCGGCATTAACTCTGGGCGCTCAACTTTAGCAAAGCTTTCCCAACTTGGTGACCTTCGCGTCCAGGGGATCTCTCCTCTTGAGCTTGGTTTTACGTTCTCGTTCGATGGGGTTTGTGATCGGTTGTGAGGCTTCGCTGCTGCAAAGCCAGAACCAGGTTGAGAGATTACGCGGCGGGCCGCACACACAACTGTGTTGCCAGCCTCTCGCGGCTCTCTCGTCATCTTTTTGTCCACCAGTGGCTTCCACCGGAGACGAACCATGGACCGCTGAGCCGCAGTGCATCGCTGTGCGCTCAGATTCAGTTGTGTGTGCTACTTCCTATGAGGACTATCCGCTTCTAAACATGATTGCTCCTTCCGAGAGGGTGGAATGGAGCTCAGCTATCCGTGCATCTCTGAGGCAGGTACTCTACATTCATTCCACCGCGCGCTGCAGTGGAGCAGAAGACCTGTCGGCTTTGCAACAGCTAACAACTGGAACACATGAATCGAGATTGCAGGTTTTTATTACATACGACTATTCGGCATCGGAATGTAGAAGCCAATGCACGTTATGAAGCGTTCTGTTTCAGTGGGGATGTGCAGTTCATTTTTGCGCACCGATCGGCCTTGTGATACCCGGCTTTCTCGAACTTGAGCTCAACCTGCATCGAATGATTCTGCATGAACAGAATGGTGCGCCAGCGACATGCTTCGGGCCTCACAATGAAAGCCTTGAGTGGAACAAGGCATGAAAGCCTCGCCTCGAAAACTCCGAGCTCCTGGTCCAAGGTGTAAGGCAGTCGATACAGCGGTCGGGTGGGCCTCGGACGGTGCAGCTGCTTGACTAGCAGATCTTAACTCGTGCAGAATCCGGACGTGAGCAGGTGCTCCAGGACTAGCGCTCGAAGCTGAGAGTCTTGCAAGTTCGAGTCGGAACGTTCATACTCATGCTGCTTACTGTTGCTTGTCGAGCTGCTGTCCAAGTGTTTTGACTCCCAGTGAGTGAGGGCCCTTGACATCGCACAGCAAGATGGCTGCATTATCACCTGCACATCATCCGAATGTGCAGCATGAAACTCTATCTGGTCAGAGAGCATGCGAAGTGGCGCGGTGGCCAATATGTGTGGTTCAGATGATTCAGATGCAGACATGGCTCTCTTTGCAGCTGCAGCTCAGCGACTAGCCTTGCCTTTAAAAACGTTGTAGAAACCATCGGTGTACCACAAGCCTTGAGCAGACTCCGGCTGGCATCACGCGGTGAACGACTCAAAATTCATAAGACCTTTCAGACGATGCTACAGCCAGGGTGCGCAAGCGGTTCCATTGATGCTGCGGCTGCCCGCTGTCAACGTTCTGCACGCGACGGAAATAGTTTGTGGGCCAGTCCTGCGACAGACTACCGGGACCCTGAGCTGGCCATGCCTTAGGTGAAGTGCGGTTGCAACGTAGTGCTGGCATTCGCTTCCGAGATGTGCCGGCCTTCCAGCCAAACTGCTCGTTGATGAAGGTCGGGTAATCGTACGGTCCAAGCATACCGCTGCCAACTCGGTGTCTTCACCAGTCATTAATCAGTGTGTGTTTTGGCTTGCCGGGGGAGCCCGTCCGGATGCTTTCAATCCCCGTATATCCCCGTATTCAGCCGGAAGTGTGAACCAACTATCCGTGAATAACACATGTGGGGAGAAGGTTAGACATGCGGATACTAATTCTTTGGGAGATTTCGGAAAGCGTCTACAATGAGTAGCTATACCTGCAGTTGAAGCTGTGAGTCAAAAACTCCGGCACTGCTGGCACTAGGAACATCCTTTATGGTAGACTTTGATAACACGAAACTTAGGTGGGAACGGAAGTCATTGTACGACAAATCTCGTGATATTCAGGTTTCTTGTGCGTTAACGTCAACATAACTCTCTTTGACTTTCCAGTTCCTGAGCATATAGGCCCCTGCACTTCTTGAGATCCCGATCCCAGGGGTGGTTACGGTGCTTCGTGCAACTCCGATGAGCTGACGTTGTGTCTGCTACGTGTAAACTAACGCATTGCTATCTTGTCGGCTTGGTTCCACGATTCCCTGCTCCAGAGGGTGAATCACTGGATCGATAGATTCTTTTGGGAGGATCTCGCACCAAATTCTCCATGCAAGTAAGCCGGGACGGTCAGCAAGGCAATTCAACAAACCACGTAGAACCACAGCCTGAATCTACCGTAAACATGAAACTGATTCCCAAAGTTCGCGATGCCTGCTTTTCTGAAAACATGGCTGAATAAGGTGAGAAGATTTTGAAGCAATGGCCATCGTCGTCATCGTACGAGTAGAAAACTATCTTGCAGTCATCTTCGTCAAAGCCGAGGCACTCTTCAGGCTGCTGTCCGGCCAGTAGGGCGACACCGGATGTGGCCACAGCTTGATGTTTTCCTTCTGCCACCACAAATGAACAGGATGACACAAGCATTATCGTAAGACTCCGCAGCTTTGATTTGACGGTGCAAGTGCCGTCTGTGACGAGGCTCTGGTGCAAAGATGTTGTCGCCGCGAATTTGGCAGGTGAATGGAAATGTGTCCTTACATGCGGCAAACACATTTGGGAACTTCACCTAGCACTTTCACCCCAACCTTCTTCTTACAAGCTCTCAGGGCAAACAGAGCTCATTATTTTTTTTGCTTCTGACGAAGGAGCAAAGGAAAAATAATATGCACTCACAGACCGGCCCAATGCTGCCATTTCTGCAAGGACGTTATGTGGTTGCCAAGCAGCGACTAAGTAGTTTGCCGGAACTTCTTCAACTGATGTCTTGTTGATGCAGCAAGTGAACGTTCCATTCCTCAAGAGCTGTCACACTCAGTCCATCACACTCTTGATTCTTGATGCCACAGAGTGCCAATTTGGCAACCCAGCTAAATCCTAACAGTGCTTGCCTTATGACTCTATGATGCCGTGCCTCATGAAACACAGTTTGCACCATTGCACAAACACGGACCTCCACTTCGAAGCTTCCACATTGACGAGAGCCCCCCAGTGGGGCGCTCGCATGAAACTCAAGTGCAGCTTGAAGGCAGCTGAGTATGGAAGCCTCGGTTTAGTGCCGCATCACCACATGCAGCTTCGATTTCACACGCATGGCTTCATGAATCTGGAGTGCGCATCATGCCACACTCTATGTACCTTGGACGTGCCTCCTGCTTCGTGCTGAAAAGCGGCAGTAGGAGCCAGGGTCTGAACAAGTCACAGGCTCGAGCTGCGTCGGGTCTCCCGCGAACTGCCCGGAGAGCAAATGGTTCTCGGTGGCCTCACGCAACGTGCCCCTTGACAAGTGCTACTAATTAGATAGCATTGGTGTGCAGCTGGCGCAGTGTTGTCTGCATCTCTCCCTCTCGTACTGTTCACGACCTTGAAGGAAGAGAGTAAGCAGTAGCGTAAGCCAAAAACTCGCGAGTGCGTGCATGCAAAAGTCGAGGTTCTGCTTGCCCCACACCTGTAGATAGGAAACGGGCAAAATAGAAATCTAACAGAATCTAACAGGTCAGATATTTAGTTCTCAACCGGATCAATTGGACAATGGCTATCTCGACTGGCCTACACGCTTTGCGAATCTAGTGGTCTGGGGGCAGGTCTGGCAGGTCGGGTCTTTTGTTTTTAAGTCTATACAGTCTAAGTGTGAGGCAAGCAGCATCCCTCAATGTGATGTTCCAGCATGACAGTACACCGGCAGTGAGCTCGCTGGGGAAACCTTCGACAAGCCTGAGATGGCAAACATAAGTTCTCGTCCGCAAAATGCCCAGAAGATCACAGAAGTGCCACGACATGTTCTGCATTGTTCTGCGTACACAGGTACAGTCCCATACCGTCGAGCTCATGCACGGGCCGAGCCACGAGAGTGTGGTCACCATAGGACCCGGAGTGACCAGAAAATCGAACCTCATGAGAGCGCTGCTGGACATGCTTCCCCGAACTCTTGCAACAAAGACTTCTACGGATATGCAGGTACAAGTACCTGCTACTACCTGTAATGAGGGCTTCTAAAGGCTTCCGGCTTCAGCCTGGGCACGGAGAGCCCACGATCTCTTCCCCGGCTACCCGGATCTCCAGAAGGGTGGGCCCCGCGGCAAATGGCACAAGGGCCCCGCGATACCGACCTGCGGAAGAGATCGACTCAGAACATCTCGCTGGACACTCCTCTGAGTCTGAGGTGGTCTAAAGCAGATTTACCCTGCGATGCTCTCCGCTCTGCTGCGCGCTCGAGGCATGTGTAAGCCACCTTGTATGAGATGCAGCAAGGACAGCTGCACCGGAGAGCGTCCCCGCAGTTGTGCAACCACTTCGGCCTTACAAGGCGCTTGCACTGGGGCTTGCCAGAGCATTGCACGACCGGATGCCAGTCTCCTGTGAGACCAAGTTGCACTGCTTGCGGTTTCAACTGCGTTGCCGAAGCGGTCCCGTGTCTGCACAGAGACCTGAAGGTAGGATGCGAGAAGCCATTCCATGAGAACTGTGAATCTTGGAGATCCTCTCAAAATGCCTCGTTGGCCACGTTGGCGACGGCCGTGACAAAGCCACCCACCACCGACGACATGAAGGAAGGCCTGTCGGGTTCGAACAAAAGCTTGTGTGGGTTCAGCCTGGGAAATCGAGGGATGTTCCTGACTCATCAGAGCGCGACAGCCCAGCAAGTGGTGTGACATGCTCTTCGGCTCGTCGCTTTCTTCAGACAAAGTCGCAGCGACGGGAATCCAAGCACGTAAGTCGCTTCACCAGCGGGACGTCCTGGCCACAGTTTCCAGCGGTGCCGGTGGGATGATGGATGTCATGTAGTGCTCACGGTAATGCTGCTTTATTAACCGTGTGATCTAGCACCTGCAGCCACGAAAGCCTCGAAGTGAGATCATGCACCCATCATGCTCATCCAGCCTTCCGCCAGCACGTTGCTTGCCAAGACGATGGCTGGCTCGGAGCCAACTGTCGGGAGTCGAGTGTCCAGTTAGTTCTGACGTACTGCAATTCAGAGCTTAGCTAGTATCTCTTTTAGCTAGCCTGCTGACGGCGGCTGCTTAACTGGGCAAGCAAACATACCATCTAAATGCGTTTGCCGGAGCACCTTTGACCATTTCAATGATCAGCTGGTAGAAGCCGGCTCGGTACAGCGTGATGTCGAAATGATACCTGTGTCCGAGCATCTGTTGGGGCAACATTGCCTCTTTGGTTATTGGGTTGCGGCTGCTACCCGCTAGAATCACGAGAACGGAGGACAGTGTGCAGTAGCCAAAAGAAGGAGCGGCTGTTGCACGTGCCGTCACATATCGTCACATGCCAGATGTGCCAGGGTGCCTGCCATCTGATGCCAGATAGCTGCCCGCAACGGTCTGATTGAAGTTCTCGCTAAGGTTGCCGCCTTGGCAAGCAGCGCTTTTGCAGCTCACAATGTGACAAAAGCCACAAAGGCCAGCAAAAGCTACAACCTGACTGCCCTTCCGCGTCTACTGGATCTCCAGACTGAGCGTTCTGCGGAACCAGCCATCCGGCGGTTCGAAGCCCTCTGGATCCTTGGTGTGCGAAGGAATCCCAACACTGCTGAGCTCCAGCTACCACTCCGGACACGTCACGGCGACGTAGTTGAAGAAGGAGGTCAGCTTCAGCTCATGATCTCTGTTTATGTTGCCGAAGACATCGCGTCCGGTGCATGTGAAGTGGTATTGTCTCCCGGCCTCAGGAACTGACGAAGCATGACTGATTATGACTTCCCTTGACTCCTTCCTGCTTGCAAAGGCACCTCCATTGCATAGGGCGTTTGGCAAGTCATTCCGTTCTCGGAGACTTCTGCCTCTTTCCACCCTCAGCGAACCAGGGCTCCGAACTGGCTTCGATACTTGTATAGCTGCTCACAGTTGCACGATTCTGTGGGACCTCGCAGTTTCCCTTAGCATGTCCTGCCTGATTGTAGATGCGAAGCACTCATCTGTAAGCAGCCCAGCGACAGAGCAGCGCAGTCGGGGAACCCGAAATGTCTTCACAAGGATCGCGCACAGGCACCTAACATTCTTTGCGATGCAAACGTGCTTCGTGCCTGATGCTACTGCTACAGATGATCCCACCGTCAGATGCCCTGAGCCCTCTGCGAAGAGGCAGCCTGCTCCAATTCTTACACGAAGATTGTGGTAGCCTGCTTGGATTGCCAGCACCTCACGGTCAGGACGGTGAGGGATCAAAAACTCCGAAAAAAAAAACTATCGTGGACAGCATTGGACATGACAACTACACTCAGATACTTCTGGCTGGCAAGAAGACAAGAGCTACTGGACACTCCGCGACACCGTAACTTCGATAGTCCCGTTGTCGTAGACGATCGTGTCCAGCTCACGGTCACCAAGCCTTGTCTGCAGCCATGACCCAACGAAGTGGACATGTGCAGAAACTTGTTGAAGTCACAACAGCAGAAACACAGTTGAAGCTCATGCGCTGGCTCGGGAGTGAACGGCCTTTCGTTTTGGCGCCTACACGGGCCAGCAACTATTGAGCCGATGCCCTCTAGACGCAGGAGAGTTCCGGCGCAGCTTGGTCGGCAAACGATCAATTCATCTACGTCTGGCACGTCCTTGCTACAAGTATGATGCACTCTCTGTCTGGCACACGAAGCAAGGCTCGTAGTGAAAGAGTGCGGCAAATAGCTGAAACTTTCTCGTCCTGGCTAACTGACCGACGACTGGGCACGGTGGCGCACTTGGAGCCTGAAGACCTATGTGTAATTTCCCGCTCTGTACTTTAATCACGTTTACGTAAGCACGGGAGCTAGGAATTGTTTGATTTTATTTCCGATGTCCGGGGAGCGTGGCTGCGATGCCATTGCGCCGCTGCTGGAAGTCTGACCCCGTAACGATGCCTGAGCAACGAAACACCAGACGAACTCATGGAAGGTCCAAGGGTCCAAGGCTGCTGGAAAGCTCGGGCCGCGACGATTGTTTCCATACTGGTCCTTCAGTTGCACCAGAAGTGGCTGAGGGACTCCCACCACGTTACCTTGCAAGTCAACAAGATCACAAAAAAGAAAGACAGGTTTCCAGACATTGTAACAAGTTGCCCTCGAGGAGGCGCCCCGGTCCCTCCATGGTGGAGGTTGTGGCGTTGATCTCCTCAGTCACTGTTGCAGTTCGGCGCAATGTGGCGCAATCTGCTACCGGGTTCCCGTTCCAATATGCGTCGTTGCCAAGCGACCCCGATGTTCACCAAAATGGCCGTAGGTCCGCGGAAATAGGCGGTCTGCACAATGTCACAAGCATGAGGACAGCAGAAGCCATATTTAAACATGTTCTGGCAAATGGGCAAATCTTGCTCAGGCTGCAGGCTCTGGGGCAGAAGGCTTAGAGCTGAAGATACCCACAAGCCACGGCCTTTATGTCACCCTTTCATTGGCACCAAGACACTCCGTCTTCCAAGCTGAAGCTGCCCAAGCTTTCCTGTCGAAACTAAAGAAAACAATGCCGGGTCGTCGAACTAGGCCGAGTTGACGTGTCTTTAAAACTCTGTCGGAGGCGCCGCCCAGAGAGCATACGAGGCATCTTGTCCATTCACCAGAAGCCTCCCAACGCTGACGCCATGCTCTTCTGGGCTGCAAGACGAACTCTGAAGTCCCAAGCTTGGCTGGAAAAATCTGGAAAAGCCTTCCTTGCACACCGCTTCGCAATAGCATTTACGTTGCGAAGCTTGGCACTTCTGTCCTGTACTTTCACTCCACAAAACACCAACACTGCAGCATTCCCCCGCCTCAGCAGGTAATTGCCACCTCAAGTCTTCCATCGTGGCTAGTAATGGCAGCTCGACCAAGCAGCAAGAAACAACGCACGAATCGGAATCGCGAAGACAAGTGCATCATCCCGCGCGAGGAGTCGTAGAGGGGAAAAAGTAGCTGCTCGATGCTAGCAACGGAAGATTCGGTGCGAGCCACGAATCGGAAAAAAAAACGAGGGGCCTGCGAGCAAAGAGCCTCAAAACAACGATCTGTCGGTTCATGCGGTTCACCGCATAGCCAGGATCTTTGAGATGAACCGTCTCTATGAACTACCTGCCGGGTCTGCAGATCTTCACAGATCCACGCGACGCCCAATCCGCGCGGAGCGAGAGACTCGAGCATCTGAGAGCAAAGAGAGAGCCACAGAAGAGATCCGAGAGCCAGGAACTGGCCTGCAAGATTTGCACGGCCGGATAAAAGGTCCACCACGGCTCCTCTGTGCACTGCAAAGCAGAGATTTACAGAGCCCGGGGCCTCCGCACCCGTCAGAAGCACGCCCTACCAGTTTCCTCACCGTCCGCCGCTCAAGTCGACGATAGCAGTCCGTGAACGATCATGCTCCGTCTCTGTGCTTGATCCAACGTGTGCCTGTGTCGGGGCAGCAAAGGCTTCGCCCACATGAGACATGCCGAGGCTGCCGAGCCGAAGACATTCCTATGCTATGCTGGCTGTGCTGCATCGCCTCCATGAGCCTCTCAGCACCGTTGAGCCGAGTTGGAAGTTCGGACAAGCCGTGGCTGCAGAGCTACAAGGCTTCGGCTCAAAACGCACACAACTGAGGGTGATAGTGCTCAGGAACACATGAGGTGCTGGAGACATGAAATTTGGGTTCAGGGAACCCCTTGCTGCAAGGCTGCCCATCGTTGGCGTCAGCTCGCAGGCCTGAAAGCTTGGGGAGGGAAGAAGTGCAAGCCCCAGGCTAGCCCAGGCTAGCCGCTTGCTTCAGGGCCAGAGTGCTTTCAAGACTAAGTCGACTGAACCCAAAACGCTGCGCTTCCCATTTCCGTCCAGCTGCATGCATCTCGCCCAAGCCCTCGATCTGGAAGCAGTGACCCTGTCAGAGCAGCCGGGGGGGGTGGGGTGGGGGGCGGGGGTATTTTAAGGGAAGTCCTTTTTTTTTTTGGGGGGGGGGGNNGGGATTTCCCGGTCCGACGGCTGTAATAATAAGCTTGAAACTTGAAATTTACAAGTCAAGAAGCTGAAGCGCAAAAGCCTGCGCTCCACAATTGGAGCGGGGGAAGGTAGGGGGAGTGGTATGGATGACTACGGACAGAAAGCCCAGGCTTTGTGGTCAGGTTCAGGCTCCAGGATTCTAGTTCACGGCTTTGGTTTTCGGGTTGGATGTTGCTCGTTCAGCCTCGGTGGCGCTGTAAACGCGACATGCTGTCTAGACCAGTTCCGGACAGTAGCTGAATTGACTGTGTCCAAAACCCCCCCCCCCCCAAAGAAAAAAGATAAATGACATCATGCCAGCTGACCAACAGGGTGAACGAAGGAATGTGCTGCCCAAGTGGGTAGCTCAGTGATGCCAGATTTCTTTGGAAACTGAGACCAATCAGAAGGGAAACAAAGCTATTCCAGGTGAAAGAATTTTTTTCTCACCCGCATAGCTGCCCGATTTTTTTCTTATG